CTCTCTCTCTCTCTCTCTCTCCCTCTCTCTCTCATACAGATTATATAAACTATTAGAATCTATACTGATGTGCACTGTTCCTTAATATCAATAATTATTTGTTTTCTTTCGTTATCTGGCAGCTCAAATTTTAAAATATTACGACAAAATTTATGACAAAAATTACAAGATTTTTGCAAAAAAACAAGCTAATTAAATAAAATTCTAGACAATTCTTGTTTTTTCAGGAAATAGCTCTTCATAACTAATACGTCGAAATACGTTGTTCAAAATTGAAATAATATTTTCAGAGATCTCTTTTTCTATGGACGGTTTAACTTGCTTCACAATATCCTTTTTATTAGTATTTATGATATCCGTTATTATTTTATAAAAATCAGCTAGTTCCTTTCTGCTCTCATCAATCTTGTAAGTAAAGTCCTTGATGTCAATATTCATGCTTAGTTTCGATGCATATATGTATTTGTTGCCATTCTTAGTTATCGTTTTAAAGTCTAATTCTACTTTTAAACCTGCATTATCTACAATAAGTTTGATCATTTTAATATTTAATTATAAAAAATTGTGTAAGTTTTTAGCCTTTTATTTTAAATTAAGTTTCATTAAGTATTCACATTTTATTTTTATATAAGATTTACGTTAATTATTTTACTTACCTATAGTAATTTGACTCAATCCCTTATGAGTAATTTCCATCAGTATACGTACATCAAAGTCATATGTACCGTTCAAATAAAGATGGTTGAAATTTAAATCAAAATTGAAATGGCGCCTGTCAGGATCCGTGTAAACAGAGTTTACGACCAAATCACAAAAGCCATATATTTTTACATCTCTCATATTAACCTTCAAATTGTCAGTGTGAATAATAGTCAGATCTTTTATATTTAATGGCTCTATTGGTAGAATGTTCAAGTCTGGCATCCCTGTGCAGATCTTATCTTTTGAGTCGTCAATATTGTTTTTAATGCACTGGTTGTAGTTTGGATCCTTATAACCACATGGATGAATGTAAGGAGCTATAAAAAAAATATATATTGTTTCTTATATCTGAAAATTGCTAGGTAAAATTATCTATTTAAGTTTCAATGTAATAACAAATTATATTTCAAAACATTATACATTTTTGCGACAAAAATATACTAAAAATATATAATACACGAGCGGACATTACATCAATTACATGTATATTCGTAACATGTCTAGTATTTGTAATATTTAAAGATATTGTATTATAACACAATTGTATGTGTGATACATTTTTAATAAGAGTAACATTTATTATTAAATTATATAAAATTTATAATTTACATTAGTTAAAATTTTATTCGTAAAATTTTACCGTTTTATAAATTTTATTAAAGTTTTTTTACGTAATTTTAAGGAGCAAAAAGGAGAATATAATTTTAAAAGGTAAATTTGTAAAATTTTTAGATTCGTAATTAAGAGAAAGTAATTGTGCGCATTTTGGTTAAGCACTTTTCCGATAAATGGTGCCGCAGCAAAATATCTAGATTAAACATAATTCTTTTTAGATATATATAACTATAAGTTATATAATTTGAAAATGTAGTTAACAGCAAAAGTGAAAAATGATAAAATTACATATTTTGATAGTAATTTTATCCAGAAAATAAGTTAGTAAGTCTGTATTTTTTTCTTTATTTAATCATGCATACTTTACTAAAGTACTTTATTATGTGAACCTTTTGAGCTATTCATTGAATTTAGTTAACAAATCTTTGAGTAATCGTTTTTCTTATCAAATCGATTCGCGGCGAGTAAATGTATGTATTGACAATTCAAAGTTTCCTTCCAATGAAAAGTGCACTATATGCGAAGAATTCAAAAGATATGACTTTGCTTAGTTGACAAAAATAAAAGTAATGATATAGATGTTGTAATTTTCTATTCCACAATATCAATGCAAATCTGTAATATAACATATAATGTTACATAACAGCCCAAAGAACACACCAAGTCGAGAGAAAATCAAAATGACGTATTTTGATGTCAAAATGATGATTTTTTAGTTACAAAATTAGGCTATTTATTGACTTTGAGCATCAAAATAAAGTCGTTTTGACGTCATTTTAATTTTTTGTTGACTTATATGTGTTCCTTAGTAGTTACATTAAAATTATAACATTGACATTATGTTACTTTTAGTTTGTATCGACTAGGTTTTAATGCTGTATATTCTGAATGGATTCATGAAGAGAGAGTGGAGCTGATGACGCTGAGAATTACATATATGATTTTTGTTTAAATAATTAATTTTTGCATTATTTTTTCAAAGTTTATATTAATTTTGTATTAACATTGATATAATATATTTTTTCATTTTCTTATCAACATTCCATAAAACATGCTCCATGAAATATTTATTTTATTAATTTTATATTAATTTCTTACGATTTTTATTTGTACAATCACCCGACGCGCGAAAAATTTTTTGGCTTTTGCTTTTTTTACTTTTATTAAATATAATATTATCGAATGAAAAATTGTTCATGCATCTCGATAGAAGAATGTTTATAGTTTGTATTTCCGTATTTATATTGACTTCGATTTCAAAAATCACATCATAACAATGAATTTCCCCTTAAATAATTCTTCTAATAAATGATTAATGTTAAAAATTGGTGTTGAGAATTTACACGTTCAATGTTGTAATTATGCACATATAGTGTATAGATAAAAATTGCTCTATCAATTTCTATAGATTCAGTTAATATTGATATTTATTCGTTAGGTTTCTAAAATCGCTATGTATAGATACGTAGATTCTATTGCAATTATCATAAATTAAAACGATATTTAAATTCCTAATGTATTATACATCTTTATTATTATCTATAAGAGATAATAATAATTTGAATCTCTATTCCGTATTTCAGGATTTTACATATTCCAAAAACAAAAGATTTAAAATATATCAGTAACAAAAAATTTGCACAATAAGAAATAAATAAATTTTGTTTATATTATTCAACAAATCAATGTTAAATTAGGTTTTTTCTAATAAATTGAATTATTCACCTTTAACATTAATTCAAACTATCCAAAAAGGTAATAAGAATTTAATCTGTATTAATGCAAATTTAATACAAACATTTCTCTTTCGTCCTTCGAAACAAAATCAATACCATATCATTTATAACGATTAAGATATTAACATATCTGCTAATTTTTTTATTATTGAAACTGCAAAATACATAATTTCTATAATGACAGCCACTCACAATATGACGCAAACATAATAAAGCAAGAAAATCAATTTATGTATATTATTGTAGAAGAAAAACGATATTGAAATTCTATTCAACTTTGCATCTTTTTAGGTACATTAATAATATTAACTTATTTGTTAGTCAATTTAAAAATGACTAAACATAAATACTTTTGATTAATTTTATATTTGACTTTTATTAAAAATAATAGTTTATAAATTATCATAGCCATTAATAACTAAATAATAAAAATAAAATAAGAAAAGAATATCTTTGATTAAAGTGGGCTTTTGTGCTTAATAATATATGCATGTAAATATACAAATACAGTTATCAATGCAATTAAATTCTATGTGCGCCGATTTAAATAATCAGATTTGAAACACAATTATAAACTGAAATAATCTTATAATTAAATTAATTAATCGTCGATTTAATAATGCTCTATTAATATCTTAAGTAACTAAAGTGATATTTTTTACGATTATTATAAGTTTTTAAGATATTAACGTAATACTATCACTTAATCAATGATCAATTAATTTAATTGCGCACAGTCTAAAACTAATAACTGCATTTGTATATTCACATAGAAAAATCCGCTTTAACAGAAAATGTCTTTGGCATTCTTCTCTTATTTGTGTTTAAATACTTTTCGGTCAATTTTTACTTAATATTATTCAAGATAATAAAAATCTTTATAACCGTCACGTAGAATTTTTATGCAATATTACTATTTTTTAATTTACATATTTGAATATACTCTATTTTTCTGAAATTATGCAAAATGAATCCATTTACTATGTTCAAAGTAAGCCAAGTATATGAGATGTAATATAAAATTACAGATAAATGTTCAATGAAAAAAAGCTTTTATCAAAGTTGATAGTTGCTATCGTCATCTTGTTTAAATATGCAAAGACTGTTTTTCAATTTGCAGTATTTTTTAATTCAATTTCTTTTTATGTGTTGCTATGGTGTTATCATAATTTTTTAAATACCACGATACAAATACATAATATTATTATCATTATGTACGAAATTATCATTACACAATTGGTACTAATAAATTACAATTAAAATTTTTGTTATTTATCAAAATAAATTGTCTAATTTTTAAAAAATGTTACATTCATTATATCATAATTAGGACATGATTTTTTAAACTTCATGCAGATATAACAAATTTTTAGTAGTCAAGAAAAGATATTATATATATGGATATATTTTATATATAATTATATATATGTGTATGTGTGTGTGTGTGTTTGTGTGTGTGTGTGTATAAAATTTTATATATAATTTTGTATAATTATATATAATTATATATAAAACATTTTTTCCCGGACATATAATAAAAAGTTACATAATAAAAATTATACGTATACTGTGATATAAATAAACATGTAACAAATAATTTTTTTTACTTACGCAGATAAGCTGTAACGTACGCTATCACGAACGTAAAAATGAAGAGTACTGCGGACATTTTTCTATGAGATAGCTCTAAAACCATATGAGAATGATCTTAACATACTACTACGAATAAAGTTTCACGCAAGCCGATCGAAGTTCTATATACTGTAAAATTCTTTTATTTTTAATATTTTCCCCTTAACTCTCACTCTTATTCAGTTGCACATGCGTAGAATGAAGATTGCTTTGATTCTTCTGTTTTATTCGCTTTCATACTTTGTATGTGATCACATGATCGTATAGGAAATGTAAGTGGGAGAACATTTCAGAAGAGAACTAATTTTCATTTTACAAGGATACGATAAATTTAGAACTGGATAATATTTATATTGAAAAAATACTGGATAAGCCGGTTTTTTAAATATACATAGATTTGTTATTTACATCAATTTCGTGACCTTTTCCTTCCTCTAGTCGTTCGTTCATTCTAAATTCGTAATCTTATCGCAAGATTTTCTGAAGTATTCACAATAATCGTAAATTTTATCAATTTTAACAATCGATAAAAAATAAAAATTAAGACTTTATTCAGGGAAATTTTATTTAAAGTATTTATGTATTATTTCAAATAATGTAGAAAGCTTATACTTTGTAATATATTTATTTGATAAGTAAAAATAAGAAACAATTTTCAATTTCTTTCCGTCGTAAATACTAATATAATACAAACAATAATCGTAATACAATATAAATTATAAGTTTGCGGAAACTTAAGTAAGAGAGTAACTTCGAGTATTTTTTAGAGTTATACTTATAAATGTAATAAAATATAATATCACACTCTTAATAATAATTCTTTGATAATTTTATAACTATTACATATCAAATAACACAGTTTAATATTTTTATTTAACTAACTATTTTTTACAAATCTGTGCTATTGCATTAACAATCTATCGATAACGACTAAATAATGTTTGCATTTATTATTTAACTCA